CAGCAATGAGGAAAATAGAAGAGGAAACAACAGTAATACATTTTGGAAGCTGGAAGCAGATGGACAAATGGTAGAAAGCCTAAATACAAGCCAGCACTGGGTAAAGCTGAGACCCAACCCACTTTCAGAAGGCTAAAGGAACTCTGCAGAAGACCGAGCACTTGTTTGTGCTCCGGTTCCATAAAAGATTTTGTCATGCTGTAAAATAACAACACTGTTCTTTATAGAATTTAAGTGAAGGGTAAGCAAGGGCCTGATTTCAGTGGACCAAGAAACATTTACTGTGAGGGACCTTCAACAGGAGATATATAAACACTCAAGTATTAACTTGTGCTGCGAATAAAAACTTTCTTAGTCAACAGTTACCGTATCAAAAACAAATCACTCAGCTATGTGTTATAAGTAAGTCCTGAGGTAAAAGGGTTTGTATTTAAAATGATACCACGTGTTGAGTGAGAATATAGACTACCACTATCTATTTTTTGTAGTCTTCTTTACCCAGAGCAACGATGCTTTTTCCACTACTTTACCTTTCTCATAGAGATGCAACATTTTCAAAAGCAACAATTAAACAAATATTCAATAGTTAGCACTTCCTCTGAGAAAGGAGAAATCAGGATGGGTTTGGGCTTTTCTGAAAAGTAGCACAGAACCTGTCAATAATGCTGTGCTTTAATAATCATGCAGTTTGTAGCCACAATGACACCTAACAACTTTCAACAGAGCCATTTCTCATTGCTTCTACTTAACAAAAATAGTAACAACAATTCCTTCCTCAATAAATATAGGATAGTATACACATTTAAACCTAAATATATTTAGAAACCATATAACAAAATTACCTGATCCATCAATTTAAAAAAACACCTACATGGGTGAAGTTTAGTAAAGACATAATGATAAAATTAAATCCCCTAGCAATTAAAAAAAGTAATTATACCTTATTCTAATGAACATTTTCTATTATGAAAGTATTTTATTTTTTTAAATCACTTACAAAGACTAAGTAAAGATTTGAGAGCAAGGAAGTTCATCTAGAATTGGTCAAAAGTCTAAGTGTATTGTGAGGATTTTTTCCTGTTTTATTCCATATTGTCAGAAACTGATAACTCAGCATCAATGAAGATTTTCATAGCGTAGTCAAATAACTGTTAACTGATTTTAGTTAACTTTAAGACATAACTATTCAATGTAACTTTTGAAAATCATAACCTTAAAAACTTATTAAAGTGAATAAATGTAATGCACTTGAGGAAGTTGCTGGATTACAAGGCCACCATTAATACCCAGCAGAGAACGTAACTGTACCTTACTCAGTATCTAAGGATGCCTTTGAATTTAGAATGAATTATGCAAACCTTTTTGTTGTTGTTAATCCTCACCTGAGGATATTTTTTCCATTGATTTTTAGAAAGAGAGGGAGGGAGGGATATTGGGAGGAAAGAAGAGAGAGAAATCATGGATGTGAAAGAGACACATTGATTGGTTACCTTCCGAATACTCCCCTGACTGGGGACTGGGGACTGGGGATCAAAACTGCAACCCAGGTACAAGCCCTTGACCAGGAATCGAACCTGAGACCCTTCAGTCCAAGGGAGTACACTCTAACCACTGAGCAACACTGGCCAGGGCTATGCAAACTGTTTTAAAGTTTATTCAAAAACTAAATGGTTGAGCCAGGCCCAGCAACAGCTCAGCAGTTAAGTATCGACCTAGGATCCAGGAGATCGTGGGCTCAATCCCCCATCAGAGGTGTGCAGCAGGCAGCCAATCAATGGTGACTCTCTCATCACTGCTGTTTCTATCTCTCTCTCTCCCTCTCCCTTCCTCTCCCTGAATCAATAAAGATATATTTTAAAAAAGAGAAAACTAAAAGATTGAAGCAACTACTAACAAGGTCAGACATGTATAAACATCATTTATGGTTTCATTCTACTTTAATCAGAACCCCTACTACAAGGCAAAAGGTGACCCAGTTGGATTATACACAGGTACCATAAATGGAAGAAGCCAGATGGTATCTAAGAAATTAATAAAGAGGGCCGGGGGGAATAAAGCCAGAGGCAGAGATAAATATGGACCAGAAAGTCAAAATAATTGATTATCCTCTACATCTTAAGAAATGGATTACCCAGAATTTTGAGTCAAGGTTACTGAGAAAACAGATGCAGATAAGAACTCACCAATTTACTGGAAATCATCAGTCCAAGGTAGGAATTATCTTAAAAGTGATAAAACCTTTCCTAATTAATCAAACTCTCTCTGGATAAGAGTGCATAAGTACATCTGAAGAACCAGAGGGCCCAAAAAAGTGACTAGGGCCCAAAAAATCGACTAGCGCCCAACTTTTACTTTAGTTTATTCTACAATTCTTTCCCTTCTAAAATATAGGACTGTTTAGTTCTACAAACTTTTATTCTACAACATTTATTGAGTGTTTATTTTCCCAGACATTTGTTGGTGAAGGAGTTTACTAAAGTGAATAAGACATAGTCCTTAAGAAATTATAGCATAAAGGGAAAGACAAGTACCTAAGTAGGCAGTGCTAACATAATGTGGTCAGTGCAGTGATACTTACGCACAACGTGTCCTGACACCAGCGGTCACTCACTTAGCCCAGACCAGAAACATGTTAGGGACAGAAGTTAGGGTTATTATGCTCAATAAAAAGATACCCAAGCTAGATTTTAAAGGATAAGAAAACAGTAAGGTAAATAACAGGGAAAGCACATTCGAGACAAGGGAACAAATAGGAGCAATGGACTGAGCAGGAAACAGTTTGATATATGGTAAAGGGGGTGAGGTGTGGGGTACCACAAGTAGATTATATTAAAATGTAAGGACAGAGATGATGAGGGGTGGGAGGGGAGGCTAACGATGTAAAGACCAGAATGGAACTAGAATGCCCTGCAAAAATTCTTAAACTTTATCCTGAAGGTCAAGGGGACCCACTGTCAAGAAGAATGACACAGAATCACATTTTACATTTACAATACTGTGGTGGATGAATCTGAGAGGGGCAAGACTGGAGGTGGGGAAACCAGTTAGGAGGCTACTGCAGGCAAGAAATAATGAGGTCCTGAACTAACAAGCAACCTTTTAACAAAATCCCCTTTGCTGTCGTACCAGTATTCCAGGATGATCACAGTATAGCAGAAGAATAAAAAACTGATGGAACGATATATATGTATATAGGTATGTATGTATGTATATGTATACACACATATATATGCATAATATTTATATATCAGATATTTTTATATATTCTTATATAGAAATGCTTTCTGCTATTACATTACATATTATCTTTTCCTACACTAATCAAAAAGGACAAAGAAAGTTACAAAACTAAAAGGAAAATGGAAGTTAAAATTAAAAGCACTCTAGTTACCTTAGAACTAGCAATTAATAATTAATTGTTACCCCTAAAATGAGTTATTTTACTAAAAAATAAATGTTGCTAGAAATTAAAATTAATAAAGAGGAAAATTACTTAAAATTTATCCTATAAAGTATCTGAAACCAACAACATTACCAGATTTCCCAGAATAAGATATTAATAAAGAAAATCTAGAATACTAAATCTACATAAATTAATAGCAATAAAATAATGTAATAAAGCAAATAACATAATTTTAGTCTTAACAACTTATTGTGAGGCTCCCTTGCCATGTATACCATTTAATATTCATAAACCTTAGTTTGATAGGACCATTATATTCATTTTGCAGATGAGAAAATGAAATCCCAGTAAGTTTACTTACTCAATAACTGGGCTTTAAAGTTTGTCTGCCTTTAGAGATGCCTTATTTAAAGGCAGTAGCCATATATAAATAAAACTATGTAAGCATTTCGTAAGAATATTTTTGTTTCACAAATGCAGAACTTCATATCAGAAAGCCAGGATTATGTTTGGGCAATACAATGAAAACTTTTGGGTCAAAGAGAACTTGGTTTAAATATAGATTTTACCCCTTACTAGCTGTGGGAATTTGAGTAACTTCTCTGAGCTTCAACAAGTATAAAAGGGGTTACAAGGCTTCAAAAGGTTCTTGCCAAGATCAGGTAAGTAATCAATCAATAGTAGCTAGTTCTATTATTCACAAATCAAAAAAAAGTACAAATACATGAATATACTGCACTTAAAACTGAAGTAAAAAAAATTAGGGTTAGAATATCCTTTTCCCCTGCTAGGAATGTTTCTTTAGCCATAATAGGTGTACATATCTATGCACATTGTTTACAACATGATAGCCTAACTAACAAAAGTATATAGTCAATTCTTGACAATCCAAGAGCATACTAACTGGTTTGCAATTAATCTACGATTAAAGTGCCATGAGAAACCCACCTTTCTCTCCCTTACTAGAGAGAAACTGGTTAAGAAACTATAGTATACAACCTCTTCCCCCGACTACACTGTAGCTCCCAAATCCCCACCACAGCATATCTACGTGTTCGGACCCCAGGCTTCCCCAAATGTCCTGGTTCCTGCCTTGGCTCTTCAAATCCCACTACTAGAAAAAGAAGAGGGTCAGAAAAATCAGTATTTGCTACCTCAGTACTGGGTCCCCTAGAAAATTCTTTCTGAATTATTTGTGACTTGATCTTCACTCCCCCCTAATTCTACCAGTTAACCCAGTTAATTAATAATTGACTATATTGAGAAAACATAACTTAGGAACCTGTAGCAACTTGAAATCGTTTTACTTCATTTTCCTTGCTTTGCCAAGGAAAATAAATTCTTATCATTACATAATCATTTTAAGTTATTTCAAGCTTTTAGTCGGCTTAAATAATTTAATATTAATTACAATATTTAGTATCACAGCTTAGTATTTTAGTAAAGTTAGTGATGTCATAATTAAATAATAAATCCCAGATAGTCCCTGAGGCCCAAATTAACACTGTATTAATACTGCTATGCAGCTGTACATTATAAAAATACCAGAAAATATACATTATAAAAATATACATTATAAAAATACCAGAAAAATTACCTTGGTGTTCTTCTAAATCCATGTCAAGTTGTCTAATTTCCTCATGAAAGTGATTTATTTTTTCTTTTATATCTGTTAACCTATTGAAAATATTATTTAATGAATTTATGACGGATGATATAGGTAATCAGTGAAAACACTTAATGATGATGTTATAAAATCTTAAGCCTTTTCTAAGGTGCATAAACAATATCTAGAAATAATGCCCTATTCTGAGGATAATACTACAAATTAAGAAAGAAACATTTTTTTCTAGATCTTTTTTCATGATTCACATTTGGACTACAAGTATATCCTGAAAATGTTAGGTTGCCTAACTTCAAGAGCACACTCTTGCCCAGATTTCTTTGAGCTTGACTTAAAACATTAAGGAAGTGAAATATCTTTACTTTCTTTTTGTAGGTTTGTGTAAACTGAACTAAATTGGCAAATTAATCTCAAACATTAAAAAATAAGAGAAAATTTGTCAATGATAGAAGATTATGTGGGTTAAAATTCTAGCAAAAGGCAGTTGTACTTATTATAAAGCTACAGTAATCATAACAGTGTGGTTCTGAAATAAGGATATATATATACATATACACACACACACACACACACACACACACATATATATATATAGCAATAGAATAGAATTGTGAGTCCAGAAACAAGACCTTGTATCTATATATAACTGATTTTTAACAAAGGTGCAAGACAATTAAATGGGAAAAGAAGATTAAATAATATTTGTTAAAACAATATTTTAATAACTGGTGCTAGGACAACTGGACATGCACAACCAAAGAATAAACTGGACTCCTACCTTACACCATATACAAAGGTTAACTCAAAATGGATCATACATCTAAATGTAAGAGCTAAATTATAAAACTCTAAAACATAAGCATACATTCTCTGTGACTTTGGATTAGGCACTGGTTTCTCAGATATGACATCAAAGCACAAGCAACAAAAGAAAAAATAAATAAAAGTTTTGTGCTTCAAAGGAGATCATAAAGAAAGTGAAAAGACGCCCAGCCAGAGTGGCTCAGTAGGTTGAGTGTCATCCTCTGCACCAAAGGGTTGCCAGTTTGATTCCCGTTCAGGGCCCATACCTGGGTTGTGGGTTCAATTCCCTGTTGGGGCATGTAAGGAAGGCAATCGGTCAATGTTTCTCTCTCACACTGATGTTTCTCTCTCTTTTCCTCTCTCCCTCCCTCTTCCTTTCTCTAAGTATGTCCTCAGGTGAGGATTAAAAAGAAAAAAAAAACAGACAAGAAAAAAAGAGAAAGTGAAAAGACCATCCACAGATTGGGACAAAAATTTTGCAAATCATTTATCATTAAAAGATTTGTATCTAGAATAAATAAAGAACCATTACAATTCAGTAAAGATAAATAAGCCAACTTAAAAATGGGCAAAGAATCTGAACAGACATTTCTCCAAAGAAAATATAAATATGGCCAATAAGTACAGGAAAAGCTCTACATCATCAATCATCTGGAAAACGCAAATTAAAACCATAATGAGATACCACTTCAAACCCACTAGGATGACTATAATAAAAAAAGAGATGAAAAGTGTGGATAAGGACATAGAGAAACTGGAATCCTAATACACTGCTGGTAGAAGTGTAAAATTGTTCAGTCTGGCAGTTCCTCAAAAAATTAAATATAGAGTTACTATATGAGCCATCAATCCCAGTCCTAGGTATATACCCAAGAGAGGTGAAAACATACGTCCACACAAAAAGTTGTACATGAATTCCATACCAGCATGATCACTGCCAAAAAATAAACAATTTAAATGTCTATCAATGAATGAATAGAAATATGGTATATCCACATAACGAAATATTTGTCAATAAAAAGAAATATTGATACATGCTACAACACAGATGAACCCTGAAAACATTACACTAAGTGAAAGAAGCAGCCACACTGGACCACATATTATATGATTCCATTTATATAAAATGTCCAGAATAGGCCAATCTACAGACATGAATGGTTCTCTAGGGCTGGGATGGGGGATGAGAGGGGGGATGGATAAGGGGTGTGGGGCATAATTAAAGCGACTAAACAGTTCTAAAACTGACTGAAGTGATGCTTGCATAACTGTGAATATACTATAAACCTCTGAATTGTACACTTTAAATATATGAATTGTATGAAATGGGGTTAAAGCTGAAAATAAGACTGAAAGTTGTGCCAATATTATCAATGTGAACCACACAAAAATTACTGTAGCAATATGCACCTCTTGTACATTTAGAATATAATTTAAAAGATGAGAAAGAGATGCAAAATGTCCTAGTATAAATGTACTTACTGTCGCTCCATACTGGCTATTTCCTGATTATCTTCTTTAACCTATAAAGGCATAAGAAGAAAATAGTATTGAAAGAAATACTCATTGTTAGGCTATCTTAAAAAGAATATCCTTCTAAGGTATGTTGTACTAAAATGTCAAATCTTGTCTCTTTCTTGAAACTCAGTTAAAAGGAACATCATTAAGGAACTATTCACTAATTTTTCTTTCTTCCTGAAAGGAAGGGTGGTGACATATTTTCATACTAATCCACATGGCGCCTTAAGGTTAACTGGATCAGTTTACATAGACATCTAGGATATGAACCCCAATACACAAGGTAGGGTTGACAGATTTAGCAATCCCACTGCATTTGGAATTCAGATAAATAAATTTTATGGTATATACATATCATGCAATATGAAATAAACTTATCTATATATATGTATACATATATATACATATATTTATTATAAAAGATTATTCTTTGCTTATCTGAAATTCAAATTTATTGTATTTTACCTGGTAATCCTGTCCCAAGACCACTCTTCCCTTGTCTCCAATGATCTCTTTCCAAGGACCTTCAGAGATTCTAGATTTTAAAACCTTTCTATAATGATTCTAACACTTAAATAGCTCCTGAGTTGATCCCTAAGGTTCTTCCAAACCCACTGGGTTCAATCTAAGATCACAAAGGAGTCCCATTTGTAGGCTCCTGAAGAGTTGTTCCCAAGTATATATGCAGTTCTCCTAAGGGCCCTATAGTTAGGGTATCTCATGATAAACAAATCGGCCTTGGAGTAGCAAGAAAGCTAGTGAATACATGTGACATATTGTGATTTCATAGGAGAATTTATTTATTTATTTATTTACTTTTTAATCCTCACCTGAGGAAATGCCGAGAGAGAGAGAGAGAGAGAAAGAGAAAGAGAAAGAGAGAGAGAGAGGGAGGGAGGGAGGGAAACATCAATGTGAAAAACATCGATTGGTTGCCTCCTGTTACGTGCCCCACTTGGAGATGGAACCTGTAACCTTTCCGTGCACAGGACAATGCTCAACTGACTAAGCCACTCAGGCCAGGTGGATTTCATAGGAGATTTCAATTCCATTCACAAAATTCTTTAGCTGTGGGGCACTTCATTTTCTAAGTACAAAGCCCAAAACAAATAATGGAACAGATATTTAATAAGATTATTTAATTATTTACTAACTAATAAAGAAGAGGTTTAAGTTTTCCTCACAGAATCCAAAATATACCCTCCCCCCCCCAAAAAAAATGCCCAAAATATGCATGAAAACCATATAAAACTAGGGTTTAACTCAAAAAAATGTTTATGTAAGAAATGATTTTTACTAGATTTTCTTGGTCAAGTAGTTCATATTGATTTAGGTGAAGCTCACTTTTCACTGTTTTTTAAAGACAAGAAACTTACTGTTCCCTTCATATGGCTTAAATAAAATAAACACATTTATCAAATCCTGACATATTAAAATAAGTATGTTTATTTTTCTTACCTGCTTAAGTAATCTCTCTCTCTCTTCCATTGGGGATCCCAAGCTTTTGTCTTCAGCAACCATTTGATCTCGATGGGACTCTAACTCATAAAGTTTTTCATGCAGCAATACAGCCTCCTGTTTTACCTGGAAGTGTGCTATTTCCTGAAGGAAGCAAAATAAGGAAAAATTTATTTCATCAAAAACTATTTCAAATAGGTTTCAGTTCAATAAGGACAAATTTAAACCACTAGCATCTTTAAATAGAGATAAACTATCTGGATTACTCAACGCACATTTCTAAACTGGAAGAATAAAAATAAATCCGTGCATACTTTCATAAGCTATTTTCAGTCTAAGATTCACAAGATGGTAGACTTCTTTTCTTTTCTTTTTTTTTTTTCAAAAATATATCTTTATTGATTTCAGGGAGAGGAAAGGAGAGGGAGAGAGAGAGAGAGAAACATCAATGATGAGAGAGTCATTGATAAGCTGCAGCCCGCAACCTGGGCATGTGCCCTGACCGGGAATCGAACCCTGATCGCCTGGATCCTAGGTCGACACTTAACCACTGAGCCACACCCGGCCGGGTGACTTCTTTTATTTTCTAAATCTAAGACCTGAAAAGAGAAAAAGACATCTCTACCGATGGGACGATAATAAAGAAAATGTCACAATGTATGTACAACTTGACCACAATATTCAATTCAAAGAACAAAGAGAACTGATCTCTAGATGAAAGAGACTGCCCCCTGAATAGGTCATATATATACTTTCTCACAATGTTATGGGTTTAATTGTATCTCCCTAAAAGATATACTGAAGTCCTAATCTCCAGTAACTGCGAATGTGACCTAATTTAGAAATGAGGTTTTTGCAGATTTAGTCAAGTTAAAATAAGGTCATTAGGGTGGACCTTAATCCAGTATGAGATTTGTGTCCTTTTAAGAGACAGGAGCTAAAGACAGACACACATAAGGAGAATACCATGTGATGGCACAGGCACAGATTGAAGTAATGCAGCTACAAGTCAAGGAAAGAATGCCAAGGACTGATGGCCACCATCATAAGCTGGTAAGGAAGGATTCTACCCGGCACCTCAGAGGGAGCATGGCTCTGCTGAATCCTCGATATTAAGACTTCTAGCCCCCAGAACTGTGAGAAAATTTGTTGTTTTTAAGCCACCCTGTAGCACTAAGAAACTAATACACACAAGTAGTATAGTTTTACTGTCACAAAGAAAAAAGGGATGTGATAATTTTATTAGATGACCAACATAGCCAAGGATGTTGTTGTTGGTGGTGGTGGCGGTGTGGTGGTAGTGGTCCTGGTGGTGGTGATAATGCTAATGATGATGATGAAGAAGAAAACAACACCTGAAGCTGTTATTTACTGAGTACTTGTCTGTGCCAGGAACTGTACTCCATACTCTTTATACACTATCTCTAATACTCAAAGCAACTCTATAAGATAGCACTATTATCTCTGTTTTACAGATAAGGAAACTGAGGATTTGAAGTATAGATAATTTTTCTAAGTTAACAAAAAGTTAATGATATCTGAAACCAGGCCCCATATCATGAACAAGATCAAATTTTTAAGAGGGAAGATCTCCTTTTTGAAAGCAGAAGAGAAGGAATCTTAAAAAAAGGACAAAGTGAATGCTGAAAAGTTCACAGGCAAAGGGCTATATACAAAAATCAGTAACGGATTAGCTTTGGGTGAAAGTCATGACAGAAAATACAGACAAGCTCGCCCAGTAGTTAGAGCGCCGGTCTGCACACAGAAGGGTCAAGGGCTTGATTCCAGTCAAGGGCATGTACCTGGGTTGCCAGGTTCGATCCCCAGCCCCAGTTCAGGGCACATGCAGGAGGCAACCAATTGATGTGTCTCTCACATCGATGTTTTTTTCTTTTCCCTCCCTCCCCGCCTTCCACCCATATTCGCCAGTGAGGGCTAATAACAAAAAAATACAGATAAAATAAATGCAGATATTTTGAGGTATCCCTTTTCATATCTTCCTCTTGCTTTTGCATAACCATCCTACAGATTTGTTCAAATTGCATCTCCATAAAACTGTTCCTGAAGACTCAAGCTCATGTTGAACCTTCACCTGATTTTTCATACCCCTGTGAACTGAATTAATAATACTTAGCATACTAGTGAACACACAGTAGATAGTCAAATACTAGTTGATTGATATATGACATAATGTTTTCCTGAAGAACAAGTTAAAAATGACAAGCAATATGGCACAAGTTAAATAGAATTAGTGACTTAAATTTTCTTGGTTTGAGAATAATGTAAATTTTTTAAAATTCATGTTATTTTAGGCACATATGTACTGACATCAAAAAAGAGTGGCTCAGCGGTTGAGTACTGGCCTATGATCTAGGGCATTGAGGTTTGATTCCGGGTCAGAGCACTAGCCCAGATTTCTGGTTCGATCCCCAGCAGGGGGCGTGCCGGAGGCAGCCGATCAGTGAATCATTATTGATGTTTCTATCTCTCTCTCCTTCTCCCTTCCTCTCTCTGAAATCAATAAAAATATATTTTAAAAAACCCACGAGTGGCATCAATACAAACACTAAATCTAAGGTTATAGATTACACCTTTTCTCTCTCCCACATGTGTTAAAACAAAGAAAAAAAACCAGTAAGAAATTCTGCAAGCTGGCTGTGTTATACTAAATGTCCTTATTCCTTGAAGCATATTTATATTAGTATAGAGAGCCAAGAAAATAAAATTTATGTGTAACATATGGGCAAAAAATGATTACAAAATACTCATAATTCTTTCTTTTGCAAGCTAGGTGACAAAAATCATGTCAATGTACAATTGTGACTAATTTTATCATCACTGCATCTACCTGACTCCTTAGGAAATCAGGAAAGGCAGGCAAAGTTTGATGTACAGTCAGCATATTGAAGTGCAAAGAACATGAAGAGGTAGTTCACAGAAAAAGGAATACACTAACCAACAAACACATAAAGAGATAACTCAACTTCATGCATAAATAAATGAAAATTGAAACAAAATAGTAATTTTCACCTATTAAACTAGCAAAAATGGAAAAGATGAGTAATGTTGCTGATAGTGAATGCAGGCAAAAATAGGCGCTCTCATATGTTGGGTCTAGCAGAAAATGCAACAACTTTTTTGGAAGGCAATATAACATTTTAAGTGGGTAATTTTTGACACATTGCAAAGAATTTATCTTAAGATATACTCATAGCTCTAGCCAGCTTTGCTCAGTGGTTAGAGCGTCGGCCCCCAAGGACTGAAGGGTCCCGGGTTCGATTCCACCCAAGGGCATGTACCTTGGTTGCAGGCTCAATTCCCCGGCCCTGCTTCAGGGCAAGTGTGGGAGGCAACCAATCGATGTGTCTCTCTCACATCAATGTTTCTCTCTCTCTCTCTCTTCCACGCTCTCTGAAAAGCAATGGAAAAAATATCCTAGGGTGAGGATTAAAAAAAAAAAAAAGATATACTCATATAACATTGCATAAAGTGTATGCTTTCACTGTAGCATTATTTATCATCCCCCCAAACTACAAACAACCTATTCATTACAAGGCTGTATATGTAATACATGTAGTGATTTAAAAATAATGAAGGAGCTTTATAAGAGCTGATGTGAACAGGCATTTAAGAGAGAATGTTAGGTGGGGGGAAAAAAGCTGCAGATAGCATACTAAGTATGAATCCACTTAAGGTTTTCCACAACAATAAAACCAAGTTAGGATTACAGGGTTATTGTGAAGATTCAACGACAATGCTGGTGGTATATGTAAAGAAATGAAAAAAAGTCCATAGTAATTACTCAATAAATTTAAGAGTAGTTCTGTCTGGAAAGAGGGCAAAAAATTATGCATTTTTATTTTCATCCTATTCAAAATTTTCTTTACCATAAACATGTTTTGTGGGTTAAAATTGCTTTAAATAAACAAATAAGAAAATGAATGTAAGCTTTTACATCTTTAATAATAAAGTGATCTCTCATCCTCTTGGTTTGTTTTTAGTCTCTTGTTCATATGCCCTTAAATCACCACTAGATTTTATGTGCCCCAAAAGACTGAATGACTTGTTTTGTACACAGCAGGTACTCAATAATTGAATCTAATTTCTTACAAGTTAAGATATTTATGGTCCTGAATGGGAAAAAAAATTATTATGCTCCGGTAAGTAAACTGTTAAATAAATATGTGCTCCGATTGAGTTCCATTAATATAGTTAGCTGAATTATCTTTTGTAGCTGAGTAATATAAGAACCTTTATTTGATTTTTATACTTACAGCTTCCAGATTCTCTTTTTTCATGTTCAGTGAATCTAATTGCTGCTGAAGTGTATCTAATTCCTAAAAAGAAGGGGGAAAATCAAATACATATGCCAGTTACATTAAGAATAAATTCGGCCCTTGCTGGTGTGGCTCAGTTGGTTGGAGTGTCAATTACCAGTCAGAGCACATACCCAGGTTGCAGTTCCATCCCTGATCAGGACGAGTACAGGAGGCAACTATCAATGTTTCTCTCTCTCTCTCTCTAAAAATCAATAAAATAAAAAAAAAATTTGTTTCTCAACATTGCAAATATGTGTGTGACGAAGTAAATTTTGTAAACATCTTCAACATGTATCTTGTGATTTGACTAGAATTTATTAGTATTCATTTCTAATTTTGCCAATTTTTCATTATTTCTTAAAACTTTGCCATGATCCACCTTTAAAAATACTTTATGCACTGTCAGGGTGGCTCAGTTGGTTGGAGCACCATCCCATACACCAAAAGGTTGTGGCTTTGATTCCGGGTCAGGGCACATACCTAGGTCGTGGGTTTGATCCCCAGTCTGGGCATATGGGAAGCAACCAATTGATGTTTCTCTCTCATATCAATGTTTCTCTCTGTCTCCCTCCCTTCCTTTCTCTAAAAAACTCAATGGACACACATCCTCGGGTGAGGATTAAAAAAAACAAAACATTTATAAGCTTGTCAAAGGTAGACAGTCTTTTCCATACTGAATCTTCCTATCACTATAATCACCAATTAAGTTTCAGAAGCCTTTGAACTTGTTATGTCATTGTTTAAAGTTATTATTTTTAATTTTGATTTTTAAAAACATGTTTCATATTTTTTGCCTAATTCCTTTTTAAAATTATTTTTAAAAATTTTATTTTATTGTAGTAAGAAGACTTAACATTTCCCTAATTTCTTTTTAAAGAAACAATAATTTCTACAGCAATTTATATGACTCACTCCTTTAAGGGATAAGACCCTTAAACTGATTATTACTCATTGAGAACCCCCATGTAGGATTAACTATATTTTGGCATTTCTGTAATACCCTTTCTTCAATGTTTCATTGTATCTTATAAATCCTGTCTAAAATAAAAGTTATATTAAACTGTCAGTGAAGGAACCTAATGAACAGGATAAAATGAAGAACAAAATGGAACCAGAATCACGGGTACATGGAACAGACTGGCGGATGTCAGAAGGGAGGGGTTGGGGGTGACTGGATAAAAAAGGTAAAGGGGTTAGCTAAAGAAAACTTATGCATAACCCATGGACATGGACAATAGTGTGGTGAAGGCCAAGGTAGGGGGAGGTGGAGAAGGTGGAGGTGGGTAAAGGGGGGAGGAATGGGAGACATCTGCAATAGTGTCAGCATTAAAAAATTTTAATTAAAAAAAAGATTTGCTGTTTATTAGGCAGGAAGAAAAGGAAAGTAAATATTCATATGGCTCAGATATATGAGGCCTTTTAATGTAGTCATTAAAAGTTGATTAAGCCCTAGCTGGTTCTGCTCAGTGGTTGGAGCGTCGGCCCACAGACTGAAGGGTCCCGGGTTCAATTCTGGCCAAAGGGCATATACCTTGGTTGCAGGCTCCATCCCCGCCCTGGTCGGGGGGCATGTGTGGGAGGCAACCAATTGATGTCTCTCTCTCACATCAATGTTTCTCTCTCCCTCTCTCTCTCCCTTCCACTCTCTCTGAAAAGTAATATCCTCAGGTGAGGATTGAAAAAAAAGCTGATTATAAAACAAGTGTTTTCATATGTCTTGATGACATTCAAAAATGAAGGATGCACAGAACTGAACCATATAGTAAAAGCTAGGTTATCATGCAGCATAAGAAAATAAAGCTTCTTAGATCAGTGTTTCTCAAATTTAAATGTCCACACAAATCATCTGGGGACCTTGTTAAAATAAAGACTGAGCAATAAGTCTAGTCAAGCTCTCAGGGGATGCTGATGCTGCCCATAGCAGCAAGATTGCTATATGCCTGGCCCAAAGCAGTAATTAGTATTACCTGTAATAATTTCTCATTTGTGGTTTTCATTTCTATGTACTTGACTTGTTTTTCAGGAGACATATTTTTTATAATGTCATCTGCTGCTTGTTTTTCCTGTTCAATTTCTTCTTCTACACTTCTAATTTGTTTCTCCTTCCTGAAACCAAAAGTATGCAATATTCCTTACTATACTGAGCGGAAAAAACATCAATTAATTTTACTCAGGTCCTGGTCTCAATAAAATAGGGTACTTAAATTTATACAACCATAATTTATGATCTAAAACTCCTTATAAACATACAAAATAATTCGGTTTGACCTGTACAAAATTTGGCCCCCATCAGCACAGACTTACTTTATGTCTTTATCTCCTCTACCCCCAAATGCTTCTATTTCCTTACTCTCCATTTTACTTACTCTTATAAGAAAACACAAAAATTATCACAGAAAATCATTAAAGCCTTCAACATGAGGATGTATTTATAATTTTTGCTATCATACCTCAAGACAAATAAGATAGATTTTAGAATAGTTGTTTTCAAACATCTTTTAGCTACAGAATTCTTTGAGCAAATGAAATACTGTATAGAAGCTTACCAGGTAAATCATATAAAGTAACATAGCTCTGACTGAACTGGGAGTAGGGAGGCCTATAGTGCAATTTGATTCTTAAAAATCATAGCTTTAGATTACTATGTTTTGCTTAATTCCCTTTTATCTACAGCTTTAATTAAAACTGGTATTTCAAGAATTATCAACTGTATTTTAACAGTGCAAAATAATAATTTCCAGGAAAAAAAAACACAGAAACATTACAAGTACAATCATGTATTAGTAGTAGCAGTGAAATTAATTATAAACAATAATAATATTTATCATATAACCACAAGAAATACCAGTGATGTGCCAGTTATTACCCCATGCAAGGTCAATTATCAATAGGACAAAGAAAAATTCTGAAAAAATAAAATAAAAAGATGCTAGTTACCATGTAAATACTTCAAGTTCTACATATAAAAAGCTTTCTTGAAGATAAATTTTAGTCCCAATATCATAAATTTCTATTTTAAGTTTCAAAATGATTATTCTATTTCTTTCACATGTAGATACCAACTTCTACAGTTTTTATACTCACTAGCTAAGCCCTATAGACCCACATATCGGTGGCCCTCACACTCTTTACACACTAATACCCCATTAGAATAAGAGAATCTAAACTCAGAAATCAACCTATAAACATCATAATAATCAAATAAATGATGAACATAATGAAACAGACTACCTGGAATTTTGATTAATTTTTGTCTCACTCTAGGACAAGAAGTGATATCTTTACCTGGAACTTCAATTACTACAGTGTTTGATGTTATAAGTGTGTTTGCTGTTGCCACAATTTATATGGGTATTTGGGTTCATAGAATTTTCAAGCAAAAAAGATAATTTATTTCAATCTTTTGTTTCATAGATTAAGGATACTGAGGCCTAGAAGAGTTAATCTTTTGAAACTAACTCATTCCGAACGCCATGATTACTTGCCTCCAATAACAACTCTTAACCATGTGTGTTTTTTTTTGTCTGACATGTCTCAATGTAGTTAGATGAAAACTATGTTGTACAGTATTCCATTTTACAGAGAAGTTAACAGCACAAGGAAGGTAACTGATTTTCTAGAGGCCACATAATGGTCAAGTGTCAAATGTTTTGATGTTATGAGCACATGGTTCCTGTTATAACTTGGCAGTAAATCTCCAATGATGGTGTCATAAAAATGAGTAAATAACAAAGTTGAAACTCAGTGGAGTATTAAACTTGATGGTATCTTTTCAACTTGTATCTTTCTAAAGACAAAATACCTTTCAGACTAAAACTTAAATGGCTTTAGCTATATAGCTTTCAAAGTATGCATTCTCAAAATTATGTACTTTAACTCACAAAGTAAATTTGTTAATATTTAAATTTATTAAGAGTAATTAAACACAAAGGTTACGCAAACCACCTTACTTGTTATACTAAAGAAGTCAAAGATGACTTTAAGAAATTATTCCTCTAGTCAATCTTTTGCTAAGGAAGTCTAGTAGTGTATTTTTTTAATCACCTGCTCACTGGGTACAAAGGTTAAAATAAAGTGAAATGCAATCATATGACAGAGTTTTCTTTTTCATGGTGAAGAAACAGAATTGATTCGTTAGCACACCAGTCTCAGAGACAAAAAAAAGTAAAGGTAAGATCTTATATATTTACAGGTTTGGTGGTTGTTGCTAAATTTTTTTTAAAAGTCATATTTGTTTGTTAAGTCTGTACCAAAAACAATGCCTTTACTAAATGATGAAAGAGCAGAAAATATGATTACATTTTCACACACTCTAGAGATACTAACCTTAGACTGGCCAAAAAATATTTTCCAAATAAAGTTATAATGTAATAAAAAGTAATTATTTTTCTTTTTCAAAAAAGGTTTCATCTAGCCAATCAAATTTATAACATCTTTTTATTTTCAAATATGTTAATCACAGAGCATTTTGAAGTGACATTAACTTAAAAACAAATTTGTAAAGCCCAAATTTCAAAATAAATTTCAAATTGAGAAAAAAATCCTATAGGGAGAAAAAGGTGATAATGGTCTTCTCTTTAGACCAGGGGTGGGGAACGTCCGGTCTGGAAATTATTTGGTCTGGACCTGCCAAGGCAACTGCAGGAGGGACTCAGAATTCAATAAATCTAGGAGCCTTTTTCATTGCTAATTTTTAAGTTGATAATTTTGTATGGCCCTCAAATGATATTATAAATATCCAAATGGCCCTTGGCAGAAAAAAGGTTCCCCACTGCTGCTTTAGATCAATTTTTAAAATGGGGTAAATTGATTCAACATTTTCTTCATAATCTACTGGGGCTAGCTATTCTACCAATCTGATTTCTTCAAGATAACCAATAATGCTAGCAAATGTTTCCTGTGTCTAGGGATTTATCTATTCAGTGTTGGGATGGTCAACATCCACCCCCTCTCTCAATCTTTCCCCTCAAAAGACATACAAGTATACAAAAAGACCCATTGATCATGGGGCTCAACCAATGCACTTCATAGCTTTAGACCTAATGCTTTAGCACACTGGAGAAAATAATTACTAGTATCAAATAGGTGATAAAGATAATAAATACAAGAGGGTCCTATCTCTATTTCCACATAGGCTTCACAGTCCTGCCTGACCCTCATTACCTTCTTCAGCTACTTATATTCCACATCAACTCTTGACTTAAGTTGAGTTAATTTTCTTTGTAGCCTATTTGCTTCCTTTAATGATCCCTATCCTTTTTACTTTGGAAAAAATAGCACTTCTCCCTTACCCACATCTGCACCCTACCAGAGTCATCATAGGAACATCACTACACCACTGAGAAATACTGAAATAAGACAATGAAGAGGCTGCACACATTCCTAGGGACCACTAAACATGGGTAAAATACCTTTTATATATGATTTAGGGATCCACTTTTGTGGGCAATGGTCTGGAATAAATGATAACGTGAACTAATTTCTGACTCTAAAAGGGATTCTATTATGATCTATATCCAAGTTGTAATATCTAGCAGGAATAGTGGATTTTTCTACCAAATTTGATTTAACTACAGAAAGGGAGAAAGTAGAAGGGGAATAAGCATAAACACATAAACAAACTGAAGGCAAAGAGTAGATTAACTAGAACAAACTAGTATCGAAATAACAAGTACCTCATTGCTAAATGAGGTAACAGAGTTTAGGAACATGAAATGAGTCTTGCTCATTCTGAGCAGTTTTCTACTTCCTGCTCTAGTAGAATAAACTTTTCCTTAAAAATTACAAGTAACTAAATTGCAACATATGCTGTGAAAAGGCTCAAAAGAAAAATAAGATTCAAATTTTAGAAAACCACTAAGGATGATACTAACAGGATATAATCATACCTTTCAAACAGATCATTTCTTTGCAGCATAGTTTTTAGTGTTGACTTTAAAAACACACAGATAAAAACAAGAAACATGAATGTCATGAGTAAAATCACTAAATGGAAAGAAACTATTTAGCAAGAATTTACTCAAATAAATGGCAACTTCTAGAGAAAGATGGCATAAAGAATGTACCCATTAACTTTGATTTCTGCCCCAAACCTGACTAAAATGTAAATAAAAGGCAGTAAGGAGTATAAATTCATAAGAATAAAGAGAATGAAAGAGGGAGCAACAGCAATAAAACCTAGAAACTAGAAAGTTAATAGTTAAGTGGAAACTGACTAGGAAAGCAAAATTTTCCCAAGCCAGCAGTGGAAAGCTGGGGAGCCACTTGATTTATACTGCAAAACACCTAAATGGCCCAGAAATTGGCAGCACCAGGTGTTCTGGAAGTAGAGGAGGGGCTAAAACATAGTTTAAAATCTTCCCTGCCTATGTCCAGTTAGGTAAAGCTCCTCTCCTACATAAAAAGAAGATTAAGACTTTTTTTTCCTCTGGGGAGAATAAAACAAAGGGAATTTGGGCAATAAGCACAAGTGAGTGCAAGACCATTATGCCAAAAAAAGGGAAAGTAAGTTAAGGCTTACATGCTCATTATTGAGATAGACCCACCTTTTTTACCACTTGGCTCTCAAAATGCCAGCCACTTGGCCTTATCTGTGAGGCAGACTAGAAATGCCATTTTTGGGAATTCAACTGGCCCAAGAGCAAATATCTAAAGATAATGACATTTAGGGATTCCCCAAGAAAACCGTCCAGCAAGTTTTTTACTCTACAGTAAGGTTTAAAGTGAATAAGATCTACACAAATGCAGTGTCCAAGTAGGTTTTTTATTTCCAGTATTATCTGTAAGTTCCAAATCAAATATTAACAGATGTATGAAGACAGAAAGTCTTTAATATAAAAGATACTGACCAATATAAAGTGGAAGCATAACATGAAGACATGGAGGCTATTAAAGGAAAAAGAAAACAAAAGACAAAACAAGAACAATAAGATAATTTATGCTATAGGATACTATTACAGAAAATTTTCAGAGGGAAAAAAAAAAAGAGCTCTTAGAATTAAAATGATTAGAAAAAGAAAACGTTAAGAGTTTAACGATAAAATTGAGGCTATCTCCCAGAAAGTAAAGTAAAAACACACAGAAATGAAATATAGGAGAGTCAATATAAAAAATTAGAAAATCATTCCAGGAGATCCAACACCCAATTAAAGCAGTTCTAGGAAGAGTAGTAAGACCAAAAAAAAAAAAAAAAA